ACACTTCAGGTAGGAGGTCACCTGTACTCGTTCACAAGTCACTAGTGGACGAGGCTTGGTGTCCCCAGGTTATTGGTCGCTGTGAAGAAGATTGGCCTCTCCGGATATCAGAGTGAAGTATATACAGTAGTTGAATTCCTTCGTTCATTTTTTAATACATTTTCCCGTATTTGGTTGAACACAAGTGAACTACAGCTCAGACCAACAAGATTTTTCACAAATAAAAGAGACTTGTGTGAGGCGAGAGTGAAGTGAAGTGTTTGGTTGGTTAATAATGACAACAAGCGGATGTTTGGACAGACCCGCCGTTACATTAACTCCTTAATAGACATGTTTTCCTGTGAGACAGTCGCCTCACTCACCGGGAGAAAAACAGTCTGCAGAAATACCACCGCTGAGGCAGATAAATGAGCCGCCGGGGAGAGCCACTGTGTAGGACAAGTCTCAGCTGTATGACTGTTGTTAGTGTTCCAAGACGCCGCCACACACACACACACACACACACACACACACACACACACACACACACACACCAAGTCCTCTGCTAGATCCTTCGTCATTATTTACTATTTGCGCCAAAAGTCTCCCCACACCTGTCATCTACTCTGATGATTTTCAATAAGGACACACCTGCATACCCACACCTCCACTAGTCTATGGAACGTTGATCAAGATTGTTTATCGATAAATTTACACCTGACACAACCATCATGTTAGCGAGTTGAAACAAACACCTCGCTCCTCCGACGTTCTTGGATCCCTGACGCCCACCAAGACATCTCAGCATTACTGCCATTCTCACGTGCGAATACTTGAGTTTAATGCCTCCTCTGCTGACCGGATCACTTCCTCGGGAGACGCTTGACACAACAGCAAGTTACCCTCCGTCTCTTAGCTTTAGTCTTGAGTTACACGATTTCACTCCTGCCTGACAACCGTAACGCCAGCATTTCATCTCTGAGTGGTAAGGTCTTCCTGCTGACACTGGCTTTGTTTTACTCGATGGGGATTAACAAATGGAGTCAAGAGCTGACGGTTCACTGCTCCTAGGGATGATGGCTTGACGTAGGACATTCTTAAGGAGCTTACTGCAGAAAGAGAGAGAGAGAGAGACTGGAAGTACTCAGTGTAGGTGGCCATGGTCTGAATGTGGCCAGAAAGCCAATCGGCCATCTGTTCCACGCTAGGAAAACTGTCACGATTTGTCCTCATTTTAAACCAGATACAAAAGACAACTACCACCCCACAATACCTCACCTCCTGACGCAGCAAGATGATGTGAAACTCTCAATTCGTCATCTTCTTAACTGGAAAATTGACTCTCCATATCCTAAACTCCTACAGACACAGCAGCTTAAACTCTCTCTCGTTCTTTGCTGACTTCCAGGATGTATAAAGTCAAATATCTCAGGTGAACTAGACAATCTCACCTGGCTGTCTAAACCCTTTATCCACACACACACACACACACACACACACACACACACACACACACACACACACACAAACACACACAAACACACACACACACACACAAAAGCAACACTATTCAAGGGTGACATAACAAGGATGAGGTTAAAGAGAGTCAGCAAGAGTGAAAAAGGTGAGGAGCCTTTGTTGTGTGCACGTAGACCCTGGCGTGAGAGAGGGAGGGAGAATGAGAGAGAGAGGGAGAGATAGAGGGAAGGGCAGTTGAGAAGAGAGAGAGAAAGAGACAGAGACAGAGAGAGAGTGAGAGATATAGAAAGAGGAGTTGAAGAGAGATTGGAGGAAGGGGAGGGCCGGAGAAACATGAATAAACTAGGAGACAGAAGAGAGAGAACGAAAGAAAGCCAGAGAATGGGAGATAGAGGAAGGAAGAAAGCCATAGAAAGAAAGAGAGACAGAGAGAGAGAGGATGAGAAACAAGAGAGAAAATATGACACCTATTTTAACACACAATAAGACCCGGGATCGGCCTTAAGGACGAAGTTGAGTGGTTTAATAAGACTCAGTTTTAATAAGACTTGGTTTAATAAGACTTGGTTTAATAAGACTTGGTTTAATAAGACTTGGTTTAATGAGACTTAGTTTAATGAGACTTGGTTTAATGAGACTTGGTTTAATGAGAGTTGGTTTAATGAGACTTGGTTTAATAAGACTTGGTTTAATGAGACTTGGTTTAATGAGACTTGGTTTAATGAGACTTGGTTTAATAGGACTTGGTTTAATGAGACTTGGTTTAATGAGAGTTCGTTTAATGAGACTTGGTTTAATAAGACATGTTTTAATAAGACTTGGTTTAATGAGACTTGGTTTAGTAAGACTTGGTTTAATAAGACTTGGTTTAATAAGACTTGGTTTAATGAGACTTGGTTTAATGAGACTTGGTTTAATTGGACTTGGTTTAATGAGACTTGGTTTAATGATCCTTGGTTTAATGAGAGTTGGTTTAATGAGACTTGGTTTAGTAAGACTTGGTTTAATAAGGACTCGGTTTAATAAGACTCGGTTTAATAAGACTTGGTTTAATAAGACTTGGTTCAATAAGACTTGGTTTAATAAGACTTGGTTTAATAAGACTTGGTTTAATAAGACTCGGTTTAACACACATGAATGACGTACTGCTCCCTCCCAACAGAAGTAAATATACGTGTTTATCTTTTTTATTTTTACACCAAAGGAATTATATCACTTAAGGTTTATATGTTTGTTGATAAAGGAAATAATTTGGCGGGTTTATGGCGACTGTAAATAAACGTTGATTACGAAGTGATAACGAAGCTATTTTTATTTTATTTTTTTTTTCAGGAGGAAGGAATTATAAGTGAGTTTATTATTATTATTATTATTATTATTATTATTATTATTATTATTATTATTATTGTTATTTATTATTATTATTATTATTATTATTATTATTATTATTATTATTATTATTATTATTGTTGGGTGTTTTTGTTATCTTTCTTTGTTCTTTGTAGTTTAGAGATTACAAGGAGGTGAGTTAAGGAAGGTAATTTTTTGTGCTAAATAAATTTTCATGACCTAACCTCGATCTAGCCACAACCTAGCCATAATCTAGTCACAACCTAGCCATAATCTAGCAACGACTTCGCCTCTACCTAGCCTTTACCTAACGTCTACCCACCTCCTAACCACCACCTATCTACCACCACCTACCCATCACCACCTACCACCACCTACCCACCATCACCACCTACCACCACCACCACCTACTCACCTCCTAACCACCACCCACCCAATATCTATCCTCTACCACCACCTACTCACCTCCTAACCACCACCCACCCACCATCTATCCTCTACCTAGCCACTGACTTAGATCCCTGAGAGGCGCCACCAAGCCCTCCACCCTAGCTGTTACTGACCCACTAAGCCGAGACTCAACTAAGCTGTTATTTCTAGTCTTTGAACAGTCTTAGAATTCACTCATTGATTTGCATCTTTAACCATTGAGCCTTATTATCTATCCTGGTAGTCCTGGTAGTCTTATCTATCCTGGTAGTGTTGTCTATCCTGGTAGCTTTATCTATCCTGGTAGCCTCACAACCTATTCTGGCAGCCTTATAACCTATCCTGGTAGCCTCACAACCTATCCTGGCAGCCTCGTAACCTATCCTGGCAGTCCTTATAACTTATCCTGGTAGCCTCACAACCTATCTTGGCAGCCTTATATCCTATTCTGTCAGCCTCGTAACCTATCGTGGCAGCCTTATAACCTATCCTGGTAGCCTCACAACCTATCCTGGCAGCCTTATATCCTATTCTGTCAGCCTCGTAACCTATCGTGGCAGCCTTATAACCTATCCTGGTAGCCTCACAACCTATCCTGCCAGCTTCGCAACTTATCTAAACACCTGGTAAATATCACTACTGTCACTAAGCTTCACTATTCCTGGAAATAGTGATAAGATATAAGATTTTTCAGTTGTTTTTGTTATGTGTGTGTGTGTGTGTGTGTGAAGGGGGAACACCACACACACACACACACGTGGACTTTTTTTTAGCCTTGGTTATAGATGTTGTGGTAATGTAGTTTGTGTTGTTGATATGGAAGCTAACTAGTGTTTAACCTTTTGTGGACGATGTTTTAACCCTTGAGGACTAAATTTTAAACCCTTTGAAGACGATGTTTTAACCCTTTGAGGACGATGTTTTAACCCTTGAGGACTATATTTTAAACCCTTTGAAGACGATGTTTTAACCCTTTGAGGACTATATTTTTAACCCTTTGAAGACGATGTTTTAACCCTTTGAAGACGATGTTTTAACCCTTTGATGACGATGTTTTAACCCTTGAGGACTATATTTTTAACCCTTTGAAGACGATGTTTTAACCCTTTGAAGACGATGTTTTAACCCTTGAGGACTATTTTTAACCCTTTGAAGACGATGTTTTAACCCTTTGATGACTATATTTTTAACCCTTTGACGACGATGTTTTAACCCTTTGAGGAAGATATTTTTAACCCCTTGTGGACGATGGCTTAACCCTACGATGTGCTAACCCTTTGAAGACGATGGTTTAGAACATAGCCATTGAATACTAACTTAAACTACTCTACAATCTTTGGGTGTGTACGCACTTCTCTCAATAACAATAACATTCATCTTTCAATAACAATAACACGCCTCTCTCAGAACAATAACACTCCTCTCTCAGAACAATAACACGCCTCTCTCAGAACAATAATATTTAAAATCCTCATCAACAATAAGATAAATTTCCCAAGCTAATAACATTCATTTTTGCCTGAAATATCCCGGGCATATTACGGGGTGACGACACTTATGACAAAAAAAAACATCACGTACTTCCTACAACACGGTCTTATACACTTAATATACTATATAACTCAACCTGTGGATATAGTGTAGTGTTTCTTGATAGCTCCAGGTAAGCTTATCACCTCAACCAGAGTCTCTTATCGCTCTCTGCTGCGAATGAGAGTTTATGTTATCTGTTGGTAGCGATAAGAAACCCCTGGCCGGTGTTACAGCTTACCAGGAGTTAGTCAGCCAAGTGATTTTACACCGTTTGGGTCGGTTATACTCCGATCCCTCCCTCACCACACCTGACTCTCTATCCCACCTTCTCACCTATTGTAAGTTATTTTCTCTAATTTTTATGAGAATTATGAGTCAGAACTGTTATATTAGTTCTTATTTGTGTTCTTTCAGTAATTGTAAAGTTTAAGACGTTATTTCCTACGAGTAAATGACTTATTTGTTTTCATGATTCAATAGTTTCTAAGTTTTGTAATTCATCTTCCGTGTTGAGGTAATTTGTGGTTTATTTTTAACATCAAAGCCATGTGTTACCTGTGTCATAATGTTATTTTTTATCGTGAAATTATTGACTTGTTTGAGATGGGTTTTGTAGTGATGATTGTCCTCTAAGATTCATATGTTTGTTTTGGTTGTATTTTGCATATTTACGAAACTACATAAGTGACATAAGGCTTTTAGTAATTGATCCCATAACACAACTTTTCTTTTGTACCTCAAGAGTTGTGTAGTTATGACATTTCTGGGGGGTTTTAGATTGAGTTATGTTAGTGAAAGGGATTATTTTTATATTTTATTTATTTTTTGTAAAGTTAGTAAATATATGAGTTAATTAATAGATTGGGAGTATATTATAGTGGTTAGTGGCTCGTTATTGGGTGTTTGGAAATTTTTTTGATATTACGTAAATTATTTTGTATTTATGTAAGTTATGTGAGAAGTATAAGTGGGTCATATAGGCATGACTGTCTGGTAGAGAGAGAGAGAGAGAGAGGACTTTACTCGACCTAACCTAACACTAACACCTGCCTTACCTAACACCTGCCTTACCTAACACCTGCCTTACCTAACACCTGCCTTACCTAACACCTGCCTTACCTAACACCTGCCTTACCTAACACCTGCCTTACCTAACACCTGCCTTACCTAACACCTGCCTTACCTACCCTAACTCCACCAGGTAGCATTAGGGTGATTAAACTTCAGGTGTTTAAAGTGGATCCCTCGCTCTAACTCATCAGTCAGGTGTTAAGTGTGAGGTGTAAGCACAGGTATGACGCAAGGCTGCAGGTGTTGGCGAGATATAAAGGTAAACAGAGAATTTCCTGACAGTTTTCCTTACATCTATTTTTTTTAATCTGTTAGAACCTTCTCATGTCGGTAAAAATCTCTCCTCTTGACTTAATAATTTATCTTACGTTTTACATATTAATTCCCCTTTCTATATTACACTTGAGTTAAACACTATCATCTCATCCTGTAAAGTTACGAGCTGTATAATTTAAGGTGGTGATAATATTATATACCTGCCTCTGGTGGTGATATATTAACACATGTGGTATATGAGACACACCTTCCTCGCCACTATATCTGCCACTTGTTAACATCACAGTGTAGAGCAGCGCCATAACTTACCTTAATGCCTGCGTATCTTTATGATTCAAGTGTCGCTCTTGCGTTGGAGGGGATTTGTTCAGTCTCACCACCCGTTGAGATACAGCCCTGGAGGGGTAGGGGGAAGTAGGGGTGAAGGGAGATGGTAGGGGGTTGTGCTAAGGGGAGTTGGTAGGGAGTGGGTCTAGGGGAGAGTCGGTAGATGGTGTAGTGAGGGGGGGGGGTGGTGCTAGGGGAAATCGGCAAAGGGGAGAGAGAAGAGGATGAAGGGGAGGTTAGTTATGGGGTGTTTGGGGGTCTAAAGGGTGAAAATAAGGTAAGGGAAAGGGGAAACTTAGAGGAAGGAAGAAGGAAATGATATATTGTGTTGTGGAAAATTATCTTAGTGAGTAGCAAAACACTAAACACCAATATAATCAAGTCAGCAGTACACTAGACTGTTGACGAGTTACACAACCACACACCTATAAATTAGTATTAGTTATCATATAAACATTATTTTTCTTCACCATTTAAATAACTGTGGATTATTACCTCACGTTTCATTATAGAATTAAACGTCCTGTTAATTAAGTAGTGTCGTTAACAGATATTTCAATTATTATTATTATGGAGTATTTTTATTTAATGCTCTAGTGTAAAGGAACTATTTATTTAACTAGTTATTGCTGGACAAATTGTGTGTATAAGTGATAGTAGTTTGTTTTAGTGGACACAATTAATAGGTGTTGCTAGGTTGTTAATAGGAGGAATAGCAGTTATGACACAAATTCCAAGAGGGGAAGTATTTAAACTTATGACGTTATATAGCAACCTCTTAGGCCTTTATGGCAACCTGGGGCTTTATGGCAACCTGGGGCTTTATGGCAACCTTTTAGTGTTATATGGCAACCTAAGGCCCTATGTCAACCTAGGGCTTTATCACAAATTTTTAGTGTTATATGGCAACCTACCACCACACAAAAATCAGCAACGAGTTACATTCAAAGTTAACCAAACATTTTTTTTTGTTCCAGTTATTACAATCGTTAATGGTGTGGCGTCATTTTAATAAACGTGAAGGATATGCTAACATTTTTTTTTCCTTCCTTGAATGTCAGAGGTTAACAGAGGTGGGGAGTTGATTATGTTGGTTTATGTAGTCATTTGTTTAGCAGGTCGAGTATAACTGATGTCTTTTACGATGAAGGGGATGTGGTTTGGGGTGTGGTGTGGGGTGTGGTTGGGGTGTGGTGTGGTGAGGGATGTGGTTTGTGGTGTGGTGTGGGGTGTGGTTGGGGTGTGGTGTGGTGAGGGTTGTGGTGTGGTGTGGGGTGTGGTGTGGTGTGGGGTGTGGTTTGGGGTGTGGTGATGTGGTAGAGGGTGTGGTTGGGGTGTGGGGATGTGGTAGAGGGGTGTGGTTGGGGTGTGGGGATGTGGTAGAGCGGATGTGATGGACGAGGTGGGTAGGGAAAGAAGGTTTATTAATGACTCTATTAGTCAGATATAAATCACAATAAAGAGACGGGTTGGTGATATATATTGACGGTAATGTTATAATTTGTGATGGAAATTGGAGATTGATTTAGTGAACGATACTGGACACTCGACCTTAACCTAACCTAACCTAACCTAACCTAACCTAACCTTAACCTAACCTAACCTAACCTAACCTAACCTAACCTAACCTTAACCTAACCTCTCACTTGGTTACCTCACTCTCCCTCATCACCTACTAAGCACAAAGTCGTTTAATACTAAGTGATCACACCTTGGGCAAGAAGCTAAAGAATAGATGTAGTGTTAGCGAGGAGGAAACGCTCATCATGGAGTGTTCTCGTAGATGGCTGAGCATTTCACAATAACCTAGGTATTGTTTTAGTGGCCTTGAGAGATAAAGGTTTTTGTTTGTAGATAAATAATCACTTGGGGGTATAAACTCATACTGGTGCTATTAGTGAAACATATCCAGATACAGTCAATAACAGGTGATTTAGCAGTGTAATTTATCCATGTTGCTTTGTATTTCTGTACCTGATGACTGTACTATGACTCTTGACAATACTCATCAACACAGTGAGCATGACGAAGCATACATCAGCATATATTACTAATATTACACAATATTCAGGGAGCCATTATTACCCTCAGAATCTTACTTGACCAAAATAAACCACAGATCAATTTTTATACCTGTCAGGTGTTTAGTAATTAGGGACAGGTAAGCCCAGTCATCATTAACTATTCGACTGAAGGCATACTAATGCTAACCTAACCTAACCTAACCTAACCTAACCTAACCTAACCTAAGGTGACAACGTTAAAAAAAATTAAATATATAAAAAACGATGCAATTAATCCGTCAATAATTATTAGTGATTAGATATTATTGACAATTAGGAAGATATAACTTGACCTTATTGATGATACGTCGACTGGGATGTAATTACCACAATCAATCAATCAAGTAATCAGGTTAATGGTGATTGTTCTTCGTGGAAATAAAAAAAAATAACATACTGGTTGAAGGTTAATTTGTTTGTTCTTTTTCATTATTTTTTTGTTATTTTGAGGGACAAGGAATTTTCTTTTTTTTATGAATATCAACTACATTTTCTGGTGTGTGTGTGTGTGTGTGTGTGTGTGTGTGTGTGTGTGTGTGTGTAAGTAAACACAATACAAACGTAAATATAAATAGTAAAATATACAATAATAAATAAATAAATAAAATAAAACATTGAAAAATATGATTTAAATGTCTCGTAAATTACCATGAAATCACCTGAATTTACCTGTGTTATCGTGAGTGTAGTGATGAAACAGGTGACCTTGAGTGGTGATAATTCTCATGATTACCTCACCAGTTAGACCAATACTTATCTAATGGTTCCGTACCTGCATCTTCAATCACCTATTACACCTGAGTTAACTTGAGATGTGACGATTATTCTGTTTATTTTTGTTGTGAATTTTATTTATTTTATGTCGTAGATAAATATTTGTTTTTTCTTAGGTCTACCTGAAGATTATTCCCAACCCCCCCTCGAGGATTTTTTCCGTAAAATTTAATACTCTAATACTAACCTAACCTAACCTAACCTAACCTAACCTCACTATATCACCTATCTCGATTTTATTTGTCACTATCACTTTCACTGTTATCATTGTTGTCACTCCATCATCATTACTTATCACTGTAGACTCACTAACTCCAGATATCGCTGTTGTTGTTGTTGTAATAGTGTTGTTACTGGTCATCAAACAACAAAGGTCTTTAAGCTCTTAATAACATTTTGGTAATTACATTATTCCATCAACAATTAAAAAAAAGAGAGATGAAAAAAAACTCTTTATTCTGATGTCACAAAGCTGTCAGCCCCTTTTATTAGTAGCATCAGCCTTACCAACTATACCCTAAGGTGACACTTCCTCTCCATGGTTTACTAGTTGTGCTTGAGGCTATGACAATGGGTCTTATTGATGGAGGTTATTCAGTATTTACAACAAAGTGACCTAGAGCTTTATAATCGACTTTAGCAGCTTGTTTTACCCATAGCTTGTCCAGTAGTGTTCTTGTAGTTGGTAATGTTCTGAGTTCCGATCAACATTCTTCGACACTCTCTTACGTGGTTCGTCAATGTCATGTTCTTTGTCGTGTTCTTTGTCGTGTTCTTTGTCGTGTTCTTTGTCGTGTTCTTTGTCGTGTTCTGAGTCGTGTTCTTTGTCGTGTTCTTTGTCATGTTCTTTATCGTGTTCTTTATCGTGTTCTGCATCGTCTATACTCAAGGTGTAGTGAGACAGTTTATATTATTGATCCATAAGAGACGAATTTTTTGGCACTATTCCATAATATATCTAAGTATATAATAACTTAGTATGATATAACGAAATACCTAACTTATTCGTAACTGTTAGACCATAATATACATCCTTGTAGTAGCTAGCGGTGGTTGTACTATGTTTAAAGATAGAGATAACTTAGCTGTTTATTTTGGCACGACTCTCAGGCGGTGTTTGGCTAACTAGACATTTCCTCGTCAACAAATGCTACTGGGAGTGTTTGTGTTGTTTGCCACTACTGTGTGTTAAAACCTACCGGGGGGAAGTATTTATGGGTATTAGTTTTCTTATAAGATAAACAGGAGGATAAGTATAAGTGTAGTTACTCATTTCATAAATAAAATTAGAAAAAAAATTACCAGTTTAGAAATAATGTAAAAATGGGTTTCATGAGCCTGGGGACTAGGAGGCACTGTACTCAACCACCTTCATTTCCCCAACTGTAAAGCAAGGTACTGTACCCATTTACATCTGGGTAGACTAATGGTGGTACCCTTAGAGCGAACCAGGTTACCTTTAGGGCAAGAGACGAGTAATGTAACCACTTAAACCACCGCATCCTTATTCCCATACCAAACAATGACTTTTAGCCAATTGGACAGTTGTGATTAAAAAGACGATCGTATAAACTAAAATTAATCAGTTTCGGGTGATTAAGTCCCATTCTGTGTTGTGTCTCTAGAAGATATGGAATTGTTTACCTAAATATACTTAAGATAACTAATTATTTACTATATATTTGTTAATTATCTTACCTGTTGTTGTAAAGTTGTTTTGTATGTATGAGTGTAGACATGTGGTTAGTGACGTCATACATAAACAAAACTGTAAACACGTGTCTTATAACATGGCTCTGACGAGATTACAAACAACTCAGTCATTTACAGTATATCACAATAAAGTGTTCCAATATACCAATATGTATAAGGAATCAACATAGTATATCAAAATAGAATACCATATGGTTATATCCTTATAGTATGGTGTAGGTAATAGCTCTATTGTATAAGATATGATTGTATGGTATAGCACACGGCAGAAGAAGCGATGCCGCGATACAGAGGAGTACTGCAAGTTGACGATGCCAGTCCTGATGACCCTCTTATTCATCTGTTCGACTACAGCTCAACAGACGAGCACAACGGCACCTCCAAGTGAGTGAGGAGGGGGTGATGTGCGTGTGTGTGTGTGTGTGTGTGTGTGTGTGTGTGTGTGTGTGTGTGTGTGTGTGTGTGTGTGTGTGTGTGTGTGTGTGTGTGTCCAATAAGACGAGTGGGGATAGGAGGAGAGGGGAGAAGTGTGTCAGTTATTTAAAGTACTTTCAACTATTGTACTTCTCGCAAGAAAGTATGTAGGGAGAGTAATTTAAGTGTGTCAGGTGTAAGGAATGTGACTTGAGTGTATCTGGGTGTAGGTGTGAATAAGGCTGTGTAGGTATATGTGTCAGGATGTGAGAGAGTGTGTTGGGAGAGGGGTGAACATAGATTCGATCACTCTTAACAGAATCTTCGAGTGTGTGTGTGTGTGAGGGAGGTGAAGAGAGTGAGCATGAGGGAGAGAGAGGGTGTAGAGTGAAGGAAGGTGTGTGTGTGTGTGTGTGTGTGTGTGTGTGTGTGTGTGTGTGTGTGTCCACAATCCCATACATGCAATAAAACTCCACAGTCATTAATTCTATCATCAGTTGTCTGCATTTACTTAACTTATTTCCTGATTTCATTCACTTATTTCCCTTATTTCATCTCTTCCTACATTTATTCACTTTTCACTCTTCCCTTTCCTCCATTCGCTATTACCCCTTCAGATCCAGCTACAGGAAACAGTTAGTAGCTGTAGACTCCTGTATCTTCCTCCGTCGTCGTAACCTGGCGAAGATTAAGACTAAGGAGACGAAGAGAACGAAAGGCGAGAATAGAACACCATCAGAGAGCGAGACCAAAGCGAAACCCCAAGAAAACGATGGAAATGAAGATGAAACTAAAAAACAAGGAAAGGAGAAGAAAAAACACGAAGAAGAAGTAATAAACGAGGGAGATAAAACGACGAAGGAGAATACAGAAATAATTGATAAAGATGAAGAGGCAGAGACAACTAATGCCTCTTTTTTTACACTTGAGGAAGGACGAGAGTTTGAAGGCTATATTCTCAAGTGTCCAAACGGCCCCTTTGACTATGCTCTTAAGTTATGGGATGATGGAAGGGTAAGTGGAGTTACTTGGGTTTATATATAGTAATTTAATCTTGATCAGTCCTTTATTTCCTTATCTCTCTATACTCATCTTCCTCTTCTTATCTTTCTCTTCCACCTTTCATTCATTTTCTCCTTCACCCTTTGAACTCTTCCTCTCTCTCTCTCTCTCTTTCCTTTGATGTGTGACGGGGCAAGATAATACTATCCCCCTTCCCTTCCACTTGTTAAATACATCACCTTTGCTTTTCTTCCTTACGTCTCGTGTTTCATTCAGTAGCTCCTCTCTCTCTCTTACTCTCTTCATTCTCCCTCTTTCATCTTTCTTATTTCTCGTATATTTTTATGTTTTATTTACCATTTATTAGTTTTTTTTTCTAGTTTTTTCTTTAAATTCTCTTACCCATCTGAACACCCCAGCTCTTAATTCACATATATCTGCCTTATAGTCTATTGTAGTCTTTCAGTTCATATTAAATATCTATTGGGTGTGTCGTGTTGCCTTTCGACTCCCCCAGGCGGCGCCACGGGATGACAGTTACCCAAGAGAGGAAGAGGAAGTGGCTGGTCTAGTGATCGACAGGAATGGTGACTATCTGACGGTCGCTTGCGGCACCAACATTGCTTATGCTACTAGGAAGAGTTTTTTGACGGCTGGTGAGAAGGGCTATTGTCTTGTACTGATTATTTGGTGTTGTTGTTGTTCGTTTATTATGATTGTTGTTGTTTTTGTTCTTCTTGTTCTTGTTCTTGTTCTTGTTCTTGTTCTTCTTCTTATTATTATTATTATTATTATTATTATTATTATTATTATTATTATTATTATTATTATTATTATTATTATTATTATTATTATTATTATTATTATTACACACACACACACACACACACACAGTGGAAACCAAACTTCGGGACGATCGATTAAGTTAGTCATCTCATCCCGACCTTCAATTACAGTTTGAAGGTTAAAGTTTATATCCCGGCGCTGGGAGATAGATACTGAGGGTGCAGGAGGTAGTGCTAGAGACCCATTAGCGCTGGGAGATAGATACTGAGGGTGCAGGAGGTAGTTCTAGAGACCCATTAGAGCAGTGCCAAATTATCTCTATATAGTTATTGGAAATATTGACTCGGTATACCTGTAGACAACCTGTAGCCAACCTGTAGCCAACCTGTAGCCAACCTGTAGCCAACCTGTAGACACGAACCAAAAGTTGTTCTCTAAATGTGTTCTGGAGGAAAGCTCTTCGTTTAGAACTTTACAGCATGGATTTAGAACTGTAAGAACACATGACAGGTTCTTCTATAGTTCTTGTCGAGTTATATCTCAAAGGTCAACAGTTTGGAGGTATTTTTAATTATTTTGTTGTCTTTAGTGACCAGTGACCTGATATGGACTTTGAGGAATGGTTAAGGTATTGACGATTTCTTTGTTTACTTTGTGAATTGACGTAGATAATTTTTATTTCTAGCATGTCCTTCATATTCCTTATACCTTCCCTCCTTCCTTATGCTTTCCCACCTTCCTTCCTTATACTTTCCCTCCCTCCTTCCTTATACTTTCCCTCCCTCCTTCCTTATACTTTCCCTCCCTCCTTCCTTATACTTTCCCTCCCTCCTTCCTTATACTTTCCCTCCCTCCTTCCTTATACTTTCCCTCCCTCCTTCCTTATATCTTCCTCCCGGCACTAACTCACCTATCCCCTCTTCCCTCACCCACCAGTTTCCTCCCTAATTCTCTTCTCTCCCTCACCCTCACTTATCTCTCCTGTGACCCAACCCCGTCAGGTGTGGACCCAGATGACCTGTCGCTGCCCTTTGGTCGCCTGCAGGTGACGCTGACGAGGGCTACGACACGCCCCGAGGAGGTGCCCGCCGCTGCTTGGGTTGCCACGCCCACCCAGATCACCGTCCCCCCCTATGATATATACTGATACACCTTAACCGTGTTCCCTCTCCCCACACACACACACCTCCCCAACTCGGAAATATCATGAGTTTTACGTATGGGTTATGCTGAAGGTATTGTTATTATGGTAATTAACGAGGGAAAACAATGATGTGTATAGGTGTAATCAACTAACATCAATGACAACTACATGTGATTTTATGTCTATTTATAAATATTAACTACAACACTGCAGCTATGATTATGATGTTAATATAAACTGTATTTACCGGCACTAATGTTTATATACAGGTCCAATATGGTATGTGTTTGTTTACATAGAATATAACAAAAATACTATCTGTACTTGGGGTGATCGATGAATTCCAGAATGAACACTACGACTCCTGTTGTCTCGGTAGGGTTGTCAAAATCCTTCGTCCATTGTGTCATATTATTTCAACACAAAGCTGTATAGATACTTTTTTGGAGTTATGTTATTTAATATTATGGTTAATGCTAAGGTTTATTGCTTCTGTATATTTGGCAACACTTGTATATACACCCTTATGAATACATTGTAAGTGCAAGTAAATTCAAGTGTATGGTTTCAAGTGTATGGTTTCAAGTGTATGGTTGATATTGTTGTATGTTAAATTTCACACTGATAAATTTAACACCTGATATAATAAAAGTTTAAATACAATAAATATATTTCATGGCCTCTTATGATGTTTATAAGCCCGTCAGACAAATATATTTAATTCACTAATATACTAAGTTAATTAAATATATTTCTCTATCAAAAACTTTAAAAAAATGTCTATGAATATCTGGAGGGTTTTTTCTTAAAGGAGGAAATTGAAATAGACAATATACCGGATATATTTCGTCTTATATGTGATATACTTTTTGGGATATGTTTAGTGTTATATACAAGCTTAGTTATTATGATCCTTGTAAGTTCGTGTCCGTGATAGTATGGTACATGTCCTTAGTGAGTCATGTCCGTGGTGGTAACATAATTATAATTGAAATTCCTACTAGTATGATGCCCCTATGTATGTATGTATGTATGTATGTATGTATGTGTGTATGTATGTATGTATGTATGTATGTGTACAATAGTCTATGGTAAACTCTAATCTTTCCATTATGCTTTAACTTTGTTCTTTGAGGAGAATAGAAACGAAAGGTGAAAAATACAAGACAATAAAAGGGGAGAAACAAAGACGGGAATAAAAGATGTGTGAAAGAATAACACAGTGTAAATAGTAAACTAAAAAGCCCCGATAAAAGTGGAAACAGATGAGAGAGAGAGAGAGAGAGAGAGAAGGAAGGAAAGAGAGAGAGAAAAAGAAAAGAAAGGAAAGAGAGAGAGAGAGAGAGATAAGGAAGGGAATACAAAGATAGAGATAAGGAAGGAGAGAGAGAGAGAGAGAGAGAGACTTGATATCCTGACATGCTAAATCACCAGGTAGAGATGAGGGGAGGGGGGTGAGGTGAGGAAATGTCAAAGTGAGGGGTAGAGTGAGAGTGTGAGGGGAAAAAATGGATCTACAGAGAGGAAAAATCAGGACAGTCACTTGTTAACCTTTGTGGTGGTGGTCAGGAAAATGACAAGCTCAGAGGTGGGGGGGTGAAAGGTTAGTGAGGGTGAAGGGTTGGTCTCTCTCTCTCTCTCTCTCTCTCTCTCTCTCTCTCTCTCTCTCTCTCTCTCTCTCTCTCTCTCTCTCTCTCTCTCTATATATATATATATATATATATATCTCTACCTTATCTGTAATTGTATCTACATCTAACAGTGTGGGTCAAAATAAACACTAATTCATGTATATCTACAGAGTGAGTCAGAATAAACACTAATTCATGCTTCTCTCTACAGGTTGGGTCAAAATAAACTCCTAATCCAGTAAGCGATGAAGGTACTTGTGGAGAACTCTTTATTAATTTATTTTTATTAATGTTTTAAATATATGATTCATTATGTATTTAGTTGATTTATTTTGTAATTTTATATAAATTGGCCATCTGTATCTTTAACCTCTTGAGTACGATGATTTAACCTCTTGAGTACGATGATTTAGCCTCTTGAGTACGATGATTTAGCCCCTTGAGTACGATGATTTAGCCCCTTGAGTACGATGATTTAGCCCCTTGAGTACGGTAACTTATCCCTTGAGTACAATATTTAACCCCTTGACTACAATGACTTAACCCCTTGAGTACGATGATTTAACCCCTTGAGTACGATGATTTAACCCCTTGAGTACAATGACTTAACCCCTTGAGTACGATGATTTAACCCCTTGAGTAACAGTGTCACTCCTTTTCAAATCGTATTCAAGGGGTTAATCTCTTTTGGGTTCATTTTATTGTTTATTTTATTTATTCATTTATAGTTTTGTTTTGGGCAGTAAGGTATGGTATTGAATTCCCTTCCTGACAATGATATGCGTGCACACGACCACAAATTATTACTGCATTTATTTACGTGATAACTTTTCCATATCATTTCAACCTAAGTAAGAAAATGTCACAGATGGATATAATATTTCTTATAGTATATCTCTCAATTAGGACCATTAGTTGTTATATTATAAAAGTATATAAAAGTAGTTGTAATTTTATGTTTTGTAGTTTGTAAGATATTTTGAGATTAAAGGAAGTTACAGGTGTAAATGTACAGGTAGAGATAACGCTAATGAGGAATAATTTCACCTCATATACCCAGGTGTTTAGAAGCACAAGTTAAACATTCAAATCAACATCTGTCGTCTGCTAAACCTATTCTTGTCATCCAGTATAAGAATTTATTACCCCCTTGTATTCTTGTGTTAATTTATGTTAATTTCTTTCAAGACTTCAAGGCTGAAACTTCTGCATAAGATTATCGTTTGAATTCATTTACTTTTGTTCAGCTTTGTAAACTTTTTTTTTTTTTTTACATAAACTTGAAAAGACTTGATATTAGGGTATATTTGAGAGAGATATTTATAACTTTCTAAACGTATCTAATTGGTGTTAATGATCATAGTAATTAAAGTACGGAAAATAGAGTTAATGATCATTTTTGGGTGTTTAATTATATTTTAAGGTAGAAAATTAATGAGTCTTTAAGTTAAATATTGTTCTTATATATATCCAATGTTATCATAGATTCATAGGCCTCACAAATACAGTATATAGTGTTTGAGGATACATACCATAGACTCACATATGTATATAGTGTGTTTAATACGTATATGCATCAGTATAGCTAGAGGCGTGTGTCCTATAGAATTAACATTATAAAAATTATTTGAAAAAAAAAATTACTGTAAAACTGGTCGTATTTGTTAGGGTTAGGTCAGGTCAGGTTAGGTTAGGTTAGGTTAGGTTAGTTTAGTTTAGGTTAGGTATGCAAGCAAAACATATTTATAATCCAAGTATTAAGCGTTAGTATATCACAGATGGTGTCAGAAAGTCTAAGTATGTGCTGGCAAATGTTAGTTGTTACGAGGGTAGGTTTTGTTCCCTGGCCAAGTATGTAAGAATGTTGATTTATGATTTGACTAATAATACTACTACTAACTGTTGGAGGAGGAGACTTGGTGATGAGAGAGAGAGAGAGAGAGAGAGAGAGAGAGAGAGAGAGAGAGAGAGAGAGACTAAAGCTTAAATTCGAATTCAAAATAAAGAAAGACGTAAGATACTCATTTTTTTTTTAGATGGGTTAACTTGCCCCTGGGACCAACAGCCATCACCCCGCCCATCCCCTCTCCGTCCCACTCCACCCTGCCCTATCCCCGCCCCACTCCGCCCCTCTCATCGCTACTGGCTCATTTCCAGATCTTCTCAGTCCCATTTCCAGGCTTTTGTCTTCATTTCCCCAGGGATTTCCATGAGAGTTTCCCTGACTTCATTGGTTTTTTTTTTAGGTTTTTTTTTATTTAATAATTGTTTTAAATGTCTTCTGTACACTTTGAATTTCTTAATGTCTAGGGAGGATTTGAATGGTTTTCTGGCCTTAAATAATTATGCCATAGTTAGGATTTCGAGTGGTGGAATTGTACTGGGGTGACCTGATGAGAATCCCTGTAGCTGCTATGTTTTCAAAAGGTCAAAAGTTCAAACGGTGAAGGTGATGGGTTTAAATGCACCTGATCAGAGCTTGAGTTCCATTCGCTCTCAAGTTCACTGTGTTTATGTTTTCGTCTCTTTGTATAGGATCTTATTATTTACCTTGATACTATTTCACCCAGTCTGTAGAAAACCGTATTATCAGCAAGATCAGTTAAGTTATACGGATTTTTACAGCCGTATTTTAGGATTTTCGTAAATACTCCTTAAAAAAAATCTGTTTCTTTGAACTTTTCCAGACGTATTTTCCATAATTTCCTCATTAATATCAAACTTATTACCTGATTTCAATAACCTTAGTTGTCTTTATTTACTTTTTATCTCAACAATTTCCCGTGATGTTTTTTTTTTTTTAATCTAATCTTCACGAATTCCTCAGGTCGTGTGTGGGCTTAGCTCTTCTATACATACCTATTGACATGCTCTCTTTAATTTATCACCCTTCATTTGCATACGAGGTCTCCCATATAGGCTGTACGTATCTCTCTGTAAATTATAGGAAAGAAGTCATTAACTGCTAAGATGAATTGTGAAAAGTTCTCCTCTTGATTTGATTCTTTGCGTGTATGTATAATCAACACTATACATGGAGAGAATACATACACATGAATAACGTCTCCTTATTATCTGTATACATGTTTCCAATAGCAAGTAAAAATTAAAAACAAACCCTAATTAGGATCCAACTCGCTTATGTAATTGTATTGTTGTAAGCGACCATTAGGGGGAGGAGTTATTCCATTGTAAGTGTGATGGATGGTTGACTTTGATAAACAACGATGAGAAATGGTTTAGCAAGTTGACTAATGAGATGGATGGATAGGTAGATAGATAGATAGATAGATAGATAGATAGATAGATAGATAGAGAGGGGAAGCGAGAGAATGAAAGACAAGCATAATGAGAGAGAGAGAGAGAGGAGGGGAACAAGGTGCATTAGTAAAAGAGAATAGAAGGACAGACACAGACAGACAGACAGAGAGACAGGGGAGAGAAAGAGAGACGGAGAGAGAGAGAGAGAGTAGGAAATTTGATGTGTGTAGTTGAGATGTCTGAAACGAACCGGAAAATGAACTCTTGAATGGAAAGAAAATTTTACCATAGAAAGAATAAACGGAAGGGAAAGCCGGAGGGAAAATTGTCGAAGAGGAAGGGGAAAAAATACGATAAATAATTGCTTTTAGAAGGATAATAAAAGGAAAAAAGTAGGATTACCTGAAGATTAGACACCCCAGTTTATTGCACTTGATTAAATACCCAAATGCTGTCTTGGGATGGGATGTAGGTTAGGTTAGGTTAGCTTAGGTTAATGTTAGGTTAAGTTAGCTTAGGGTAGCTTAGGTTAATGTTAGGTTAAGTTAGCTTAGGGTAGCTTAGGTTAATGTTAGGTTAATGTTAGGTTAGGTTAATTAGATATATATATAACCTAATTAATCATAGTATCTTGAACCTTATATAATAAAAAAATGGCCCCTAAGGTAATTAATCCTCACCTGTCGTTTACCTACACGCTCGGAGGTAATTAATTAGACCTTTTTTACCTTATGTATATAAATTTCCCACTTTTATTAATGAGGCAATATATATATATATATATATATA